CTGGCAGCAGCCTGGTGTGAGGGCTGGCAGCAGCCTGGTGTGAGGGCTGGCAGCAGCCTGGTGTGAGGGCTGGCAGCAGCCTGGTGTGAGGGCTGGCAGCAGCCTGGTGTGAGGGCTGGCAGCAGCCTGGTGTGTGGGCTGGCAGCAGCCTGGTGTGAGGGCTGGCAGCAGCCTAGTGTGAGGGCTGGCAGCAGCCTGGTGTGAGGGCTGGCAGCAGCCTGGTGTGAGGGCTGGCAGCAGCCAGTTGTGAGGGCTGGCAGAAGCCTGGTGTGAGGGCTGGCAGCAGCCTGGTGTGAGGGCTGGCAGCAGCCTGGTGTGAGGGCTGGCAGCAGCTTGGTGTGAGGGCCGGCAGCAGCCTGGTGTGAGGGCCGGCAGCAGCCTTATGTGAGGGCCGGCAGCAGCCTGGTGTGAGGGCTGGCAGCAGCCTGGTGTGAGGGTTGGTAGCAGCCTGGTGTGAGGGCTGGCAGCAGCCTGGTGTGAGGGCTGGCAGCAGCCTGGTGTGAGGGCTGGCAGCAGCCTGTTGTGAGGGCTGGCAGCAGCCTGGTGTGAGGGCTGGCAGCAGCCTGGTGTGAGGGCTGGCAGCAGCCTGGTGTGAGGGCTGGCAGCAGCCTGGTGTGAGGGCTGGCAGCAGCCTGGTGTGAGGGCTGGCAGCAGCTTGGTGTGAGGGCTGGTAGCAGCCTGGTGTGAGGGCTGGCAACAACCTGGTGTGAGAGCTGGCAGCAGCCTGGTGTGAGAGCTGGCAGCAGCCTGGTGTGAGGGCTGGCAGCAGCCTGGTGTGAGGGCTGGCAGCAGCATGGTGTGAGGGCTGGCAGCAGCCTGGTGCGAGAGCTGGCAGCAGCCTGTTGTGAGGGCTGGCAGCAGCCTGGTGTGAGGGCTGGTAGCAGCCTTGTGTGAGGGCTGGTAACAGCCTGGTGTGAAGGCTGGCAGCAGCCTAGTGTGAGGGCTGGCAGCAGCCTTTTATGAGGGCTGGCAGCAGCCTTATGTGAGGGCCGGCAGCAGCCTGGTGTGAGGGCTGGCAGCAGCCTGGTGTGAGGGTTGGTAGCAGCCTGGTGTGAGGGCTGGCAGCAGCCTGGTGTGAGGGCTGGCAGCAGCCTGGTGTGAGGGCTGGCAGCAGCCTGTTGTGAGGGCTGGCAGCAGCCTGGTGTGAGGGCTGGCAGCAGCCTGGTGTGAGGGCTGGCAGCAGCCTGGTGTGAGGGCTGGCAGCAGCCTGGTGTGAGGGCTGGCAGCAGCCTGGTGTGAGGGCTGGCAGCAGCTTGGTGTGAGGGCTGGTAGCAGCCTGGTGTGAGGGCTGGCAACAACCTGGTGTGAGAGCTGGCAGCAGCCTGGTGTGAGAGCTGGCAGCAGCCTGGTGTGAGGGCTGGCAGCAGCCTGGTGTGAGGGCTGGCAGCAGCATGGTGTGAGGGCTGGCAGCAGCCTGGTGCGAGAGCTGGCAGCAGCCTGTTGTGAGGGCTGGCAGCAGCCTGGTGTGAGGGCTGGTAGCAGCCTTGTGTGAGGGCTGGTAACAGCCTGGTGTGAAGGCTGGCAGCAGCCTAGTGTGAGGGCTGGCAGCAGCCTTTTATGAGGGCTGGCAGCAGCCTGGTGTGAGGGCTGGTAGCAGCCTGGTGTGAGGGCTGGCAGCAACCTGGTGTGAGGGCTGGCAGCAGTCTGGCGTGAGGGCTGGCAGCAGCCTGGTGTGAGGGCTCGTAGCAGCCTGGTGTGAGGGCTGGCAGCAGCCTGGTGTGAGGGCTGGCAGCAGCCTTTTATGAGGGCTGGTAGCAGCCTGGCGTGAGAGCCGGCAGCAGCCTGGTGTGAGGGCTGGCAACAGCCTGGTGTATGGGCTGGAAGCAGCCTGGTGTAAAGGCTGGCAGCTGCTTGGTGTGAGGGCTGGTAGCAGCCTGGTGTGAGGGCTGGCAGCAAACTGGTGTGAGGGCTGGCAGCAGCCTGGAGTGAGGGCTGGCAGCAGTCTTTTACGAGGGCTGGTAACAGCCTGGTGTGAGGGCCGGCAGCAGCCTGGTGTGAGGGCTGGCAGCAGCCTTGTGTAAGGGCTGGAAGCAGCCTGGTGTAAAGGCTGGCAGCAGCCTGTTGTGAGGGCTGGCAGCAGCCTGGTGTGAGGGCTGGCAGCAGCCTGGTGTGAGGGCTGGCAGCAGCCTGGTGTGAGAGCTGGCAGCAGCCTGGTGTGAGGGCTGGCAGCAGCCTGGTGTGAGGGCTGGCAGCAGCCTGGTGTGAGGGCTGGCAGCAGCCTGGTGTGAGGGCTGGCAGCAGCCTGGTGTGATGGCTGGCAGCAGCCTGGAGTGAAGGGCTGGCAGCAGCCTTTTACGAGGGCTGGTAACAGCATAGTGTGAGGGCCGGCAGCAGCCTGGTGTGAGGGCTGGCAGCAGCCTGGTGTAAGGGCTGGAAGCAGACTGGTGTAAAGGCTGGCAGCAGCCTGGTGTGAGGGCTGTCAGCAGCCTGGTGTGAGGGCTGGCAGCAGCCTGGTGTGAGGGCTGGCAACAACCTGGTGTGAGGGCTGGCAGCAGTCTGGTGTGAGGGCCGGCAGCAGCTGGTGTGAGGGCTGGCAGCAGCCTTTTATGAGGGCTGGTAGCAGCCTGGTGTGAGGGCCGGCAGCAGCCTGGTGTGAGTGCTGGCAGCAGCCTGGTGTAAGGGCTGGAAGCAGCCTGGTGTAAGGGCTGGCAGCAGCCTGGTGTGAGGGCTGGCAGCAGCCTGGTGTGAGGGCTGGCAGCAGCCTGGTGTGAGGGCTGGCAGCAGCCTGGTGTGAGGGCTGGCAGCAGCCTGGTGTGAGGGCTGGCAGCAGCCCGGTGTGAGGGCCGGCAGCAGCCTGGTATGAGGGCTGGCAGCAGCCTGGTGTGAGAGCTGGCAGCAGTCTGGTGTGAGGGCTGGCAGCAGCCTGGTGTGAGGGCTGGCAGCAGCATGGTGTGAGGGCTGGCAGCAGCCTGGTGCGAGAGCTGGCAGCAGCCTGTTGTGAGGGCTGGCAGCAGCCTGGTTGAGGGCTGGTAGCAGCCTTGTGTGAGGGCTGGTAACAGCCTGGTGTGAGGACTGGCAGCAGCCTGGTGTGAAGGCTGGCAGCAGCCTAGTGTGAGGGCTGGCAGCAGCCTTTTATGAGGGCTGGCAGCAGTCTGGTGTGAGGGCTGGTAGCAGCCTGGTGTGAGGGCTGGCAGCAACCTGGTGTGAGGGCTGGCAGCAGTCTGGCGTGAGGGCTGGCAGCAGCCTGGTGTGAGGGCTCGTAGCAGCCTGGTGTGAGGGCTGGCAGCAGCCTGGTGTGAGGGCTGGCAGCAGCCTTTTATGAGGGCTGGTAGCAGCCTGGCGTGAGAGCTGGCAGCAGCCTGGTGTGAGGGCTGGCAGCAGCCTGGTGTGAGGGCTGGCAGCAGCATGGTGTGAGGGCCGGCAGCAGCCTGGTATGAGGGCTGGCAGCAGCCTGGTGTGAGAGCTGGCAGCAGCCTGGTGTGAGGGCTGGCAGCAGCCTGGTGTGAGGGCTGGCAGCAGCATGGTGTGAGGGCTGGCAGCAGCCTGGTGCGAGAGCTGGCAGCAGCCTGTTGTGAGGGCTGGCAGCAGCCTGGTGTGAGGGCTGGTAGCAGCCTTGTGTGAGGGCTGGTAACAGCCTGGTGTGAAGGCTGGCAGCAGCCTAGTGTGAGGGCTGGCAGCAGCCTTTTATGAGGGCTGGCAGCAGCCTGGTGTGAGGGCTGGTAGCAGCCTGGTGTGAGGGCTGGCAGCAACCTGGTGTGAGGGCTGGCAGCAGTCTGGCGTGAGGGCTGGCAGCAGCCTGGTGTGAGGGCTCGTAGCAGCCTGGTGTGAGGGCTGGCAGCAGCCTGGTGTGAGGGCTGGCAGCAGCCTTTTATGAGGGCTGGTAGCAGCCTGGCGTGAGAGCCGGCAGCAGCCTGGTGTGAGGGCTGGCAACAGCCTGGTGTATGGGCTGGAAGCAGCCTGGTGTAAAGGCTGGCAGCTGCTTGGTGTGAGGGCTGGTAGCAGCCTGGTGTGAGGGCTGGCAGCAAACTGGTGTGAGGGCTGGCAGCAGCCTGGAGTGAGGGCTGGCAGCAGTCTTTTACGAGGGCTGGTAACAGCCTGGTGTGAGGGCCGGCAGCAGCCTGGTGTGAGGGCTGGCAGCAGCCTGGTGTAAGGGCTGGAAGCAGCCTGGTGTAAAGGCTGGCAGCAGCCTGTTGTGAGGGCTGGCAGCAGCCTGGTGTGAGGGCTGGCAGCAGCCTGGTGTGAGGGCTGGCAGCAGCCTGGTGTGAGAGCTGGCAGCAGCCTGGTGTGAGGGCTGGCAGCAGCCTGGTGTGAGGGCTGGCAGCAGCCTGGTGTGAGGGCTGGCAGCAGCCTGGTGTGAGGGCTGGCAGCAGCCTGGTGTGAGGGCTGGCAGCAGCCTGGAGTGAAGGGCTGGCAGCAGCCTTTTACGAGGGCTGGTAACAGCCTAGTGTGAGGGCCGGCAGCAGCCTGGTGTGAGGGCTGGCAGCAGCCTGGTGTAAGGGCTGGAAGCAGACTGGTGTAAAGGCTGGCAGCAGCCTGGTGTGAGGGCTGTCAGCAGCCTGGTGTGAGGGCTGGCAGCAGCCTGGTGTGAGGGCTGGCAGCAGCCTGGTGTGAGAGCTGGCAGCAGCCTGGTGTGAGGGCTGGCAGCAGCCTGGTGTGAGGGCTGGCAGCAGCCTGGTGTGATGGCTGGCAGCAGCCTGGAGTGAGGGCTGGCAGCAGCCTTTTACGAGGGCTGGTAACAGCCTGGTGTGAGGGCCGGCAGCAGCCTGGTGTGAGGGCTGGCAGCAGCTTGGTGTAAGGGCTGGAAGCAGCCTGGTGTAAAGGCTGGCAACAGCCTGGTGTGAGGGCTGGCAGCAGCCTGGTGTGATGGCTGGCAGCAGCCTGGTGTGAGGGCTGGCAGGAGCCTGGTGTGAGAGCTGGCAGCAGCCTGGTGTGAGGGCTGGCAGCAGCCTAGTGTGAGGGCTGGCTGCAGCCTGGTGTGAGGGCTGGCAGCAGCCTGGTGTGAGGGCTGGCAGCAGCCTGGTGTGAGGGCTGGCAGCAGCCTGGTGTGAGGGCTGGCAGCAGCCTGGTGTGAGGGCTGGCAGAAGCCTGGTGTGAGGGCTGGCAGCAGCCTGGTGTGAGGGCTGGCAGCAGCCTGGTGTGAGGGCTGGCAGCAGCTTGGTGTGAGGGCTGGCAGCAGCCTGGTGTGAGGGCACGAATCACATTAGTGTTTTAAGGAAAGCTTTCAGGCAAATATCGTATTGTCAACAATAGTGAAGAGAAGACACAAGTTGCCGAGCAAGCTTTTACTGAGAACGCGTCGCTCTGTGTAAAGCTTTGTCACTATAAAGCTCTATAGAGCTTTGTCACGATAAAGCTCTGTAGAGCTTTGCCACGATAAAGCTCTGTAGAGCTTTGCCACGATAAATATATATAGAACTTTGTCACGATAAAGCTCTGTAGAGCTTTGTCACGATAAAGTTCTATAGAGCTTTGTCACTATAAAGCTTTGTAGAGCTTTATCACTATAATATTCTATAGAGCTTTGTCACTATAAATCTCTGTAGACCTTTGCCACGATGAAGCTCTGTAGTGCTTTGTCACAATAAAGCTCTGTGGAGCTTTTTCACTATAAAGCTCTGTAAGCTTTGTCGCGATAAAGTTCTGTAGAATTTTTTAACGATAAAGCTCTGTAGAGCTTTGTCACGATAAAGCTCTACACAGAGCAAAACGTTGCCCCAGTGGTAACTTGTTCTCCAAGCTTTGTCTTTTCTTCAGAGGAATTGACAAGTGTCACCACCATAGTTACTGTTTCTCACAATAGTTTCCTTCTCTCATCACACTTACGTTCTCATCACTCGTTCTCATCACATTCGCGAAGGAAATTTGCTTGCAAATGCTCGACACTCTGAACCTTGAACCATTCACTGTCGGATGAGTTTGGGAAAGTCGGACTCTAGATCCATAGTTGCATGGACTCCTCTGCAGTCATGGTCTCATGAACTCAATCATGATAATGTGGACTCGATAACACAAACTCGTCCATGATCATATGGACTCGCCCATTAATCATGTGAACTCGTTCATGATTACATATTCACCCATGATCACATTGTCTTATCCATGATCACATGGACTTACCCATGCTCACACTGTCTCAACCATGATCACATAGACTCACCCATGATCACATGAATCCGTGGGTCACGACGTTATCTCATAAATGTCAACTTGGAATTTGAAGTCTACACTGTCACTGAGGTTGCTGATTGTCTTATTTTCTGATTCGTAAAGCCTCTTGGAAACCTTTAAATATTTTTTATTCTATTATTAACTTTAATTATTATTTTTATTCTTATTGGCCTTAATTTACCGCCGAAGTCTGCAGCACCGTCTACTCTCTTATCCATCGTAAAAGTAAACACTGTCTCGCCCAGCTGCCCCCATATTGAATATTTGTTTACGCATCAGTCCGCCATATTGAATGTCTGTTTACATTTCGATAAAGCACACAGCGTAAAAGAAAGTGACTATAAGGCTGAGTGCACGCTTAACATTTAGTTTGATCGTCGTCTGTGTGTATGCCAAGCAGCCAGATGTAACCATGGTGAAGTCTGGCTACTTAAATATGTCTGTCTACATTGCAAATCACTTCGTAAATATTTTTTTCGTTCGCGTTAATAATGTGTTAAATATACACTTAAGCTTCTAATTATATTCTCTCTTGATAATATTTATAATGCTTGACACAGACCAAGGTTACATTCGATTTTTTCAATGTACTTTATGTAGCTAATTTATGAATCGTACCATGTAGAAATAAGTCTGTGTGAAATGGTGTCCAGTAATTCCTTTCTCTCCGATTTTTGCATATCTCTGCCAGCTTCTCCACAAAAACATACTGTTCGAATTTTTACACGAGCCAAGTGCATTTGTTATTAACTGGGATGATAAAGAGTGTTTACTTTGTAAAGTAGAAGTACGTGTGTAAATTTTGGTCTGGGGAACTGGGAAGAAGAGCAGGTGCAGCTGTGCCAGTGGTGTGGTGTTCACAGCACCAACATATGCAATGTGTGGTATTTGCTGACTAACAATTACGTTAAGTATCACAGCCACGCTGGATAACTTTATTTGTTTCATGTGAAGCGCTAAACCAATGAGAGTTATTAAGCGCAATGACTGACGGAGTCTCGATCCTCCGTCCGCTAAATGCAAGACATTCATTTCCCACGGCAGGAATTGCATGATATATTCAGAGCTTCATAATATGGGACTTTTCACATCAGTTATTTTCGTGAAGAGATATATATTATAATACCACTGCTAGCCTGTATCACTTCTCACATAAATTTGAGCATCACTCTGAGGTTATGATGGTCACCATATCCCCACTGAATTATAACTAATAATTGGCCGTCTCCCACCGAGGCAGAGTGACCCGAAAAAGAAACACTTTCACCATCATTTACACTGTCACTGTCTTGCTAGAGGCTCCCCCTCGAAACAGCAAATATCCCAATATCGCTGTCTGTGGTAGTTACTCCAGAACAGAACCATAAATACGTTAACCAGTATATACTCTTATGCTTTCTGCACTGTGAGTAAACAACACTGTGAGGAATATCAGACCTGCTATCCCCTTTGTAAGAGAATCTTTGAAGTAAGAAGAAAAATTATTAGTGTCAGCTCACCTCGAAATATATCCTTACAAAGGGTATAACTGGTCTGGTATAAAGTTAATAGCAGGTCTGGTATAAAGGGTATAGCAGGTTTGGTATAAAGGGTATAACAGGTCTGGTATAAAGGGTATAGCTGGCCTGGTATAAAGAGATAGCAGGTCTGGTATAAAGGGTATAGCAGGTCTGGTATAAAGGGTATAACAGGTCTGGTATAAAGGTGATAGCAGGTCTGGTATAAAGGTGATAGCAGGTCTGGTATAAAGGTGATAGCAGATCTGGTATAAAGGTGATAGCAGGTCTGGTATAAAAGTGATAGCAGGTTTGGTATAAAGGTGATAGCAGGTCTGGTATTCCTTACAGCCTGCCCTGGCTGACTCCCTTCATTGTGAGTGGAAAACCTACCTTGATGGGGACAATCCAGAAAGACCAAACTTAATCAGTCTTTTGTTCGAGAATTACTTTTACCTTACACACGACTACACGACCTGTGCTGATGGATAAACGAATTCACGACCTTTGTAATGGATAAACACAATTACTGCATGAAACCATGGCTCTGCATATCCTGGGTGAGGTGCCCTTCATGGTAAGAATCCCCACAAGGCGTGGGATGGCGAAGGTACGCCTGGCTGTGGTATTACCAGCGTCACACAACAGTCAGGAAATAAGCAGGGCCAGGCAGGGCCAGGCCCCTCAATATTCTGCTGATACGTTGGGTACGTCAGGCTTAGAGGCGGGTCACTGATGCTGGCTTTTATGATATCATCTACTTATAGTATCTCATCCGCTTACGGTACCATCTGAGCGTGAGGACCAGCCATGGTGGACCATACTAAGTGGCTCACTTCACCCCGAGGTACAAGTTCATTGAGCAATGAGTGCCACTCATCTTGGGAGCATCACCCATCTTGTGAGTGCTAGTCTTCCTGCAAGTGTCACTCATTCTGAGTGAATGTGCCGCCATGATGATAGTACTGGGTAGTGGAATTCACCCTGCCCTGCTAGTGGTCCTCATTATGCGAATGGCCTATCATTCTCCAAGTGTTATTCATCCTGATTGAACATACCGCCATAAAAACATTTAATCCCATTCTCAGTGGCATTTTTTTGTACTGTCTAGACACCCTGTCATGTTCAAAATAATAATAATAATAATGAAAGTGTGCCGACTCAGGGTTGCGCATCATACACACTTGTTATAATCTTTAAGTCTTCAATAGGCCTGATATAAAATTCTCGTTTTCACACGGCCTACACGGCTACACCTCGTAATGTCCTACACGAGGGAGAAGTTTTCTTTGGTCAGTGTACCAGTGTTTCGAGAACACTGACACATTTTCTTGTCAGTGTGCCAGTGTTTCGAGAACACTGACATTTTCTTGGTCAGTGTGGCACTGATTGAGAACACTGACACACGCCTTGGTCAGTGTCTTCAGGATACTGATACACGCCTTCGTCATAGTCAACACGACATTGATACACTTTCATGGGCAGTGTGGCAGTATTTTCAGAAAACTGACACACTCCTTGGTCAGAGTACCTTCAGAGCACCGCCAGTTAAGCATCCTTTGATACGGTCTGGAACCAATACACTAACTACCAGTGGAAGTTGTGACCGACCATCTTGTAGAACTTGAAGTTGAAGGGTCTGTAGAAGTCCCTGAGGATGTTGTAGGTGGTCTGTGAGACGGGAGGATGCGAGCGTCCTTTGGAGGAGCCCAGACAGTGAGGTCGTCCCGTCTTCTCTCGCTTCACCAGACATGGGAAGCCCTTGGTGGCGTTGAAGAAGAAATGCTTCTCTGTGATCACCCGCCGCAGCCCCAGGAACTCCTGTGAGAGATGCCAAAAGAGTGTCAGTGCTGGGTGATAGTGTTGTGTGTAACGTGTAAATACTGAGTGTTGTGTCAGTGCTGGGTGTGTGTGTGTGTTTGTGTGTACATATGCAAAGTTTATAGTGCGCCAACTGTGTTGGAATATGTATTTGTGTGTTTGTGTGTGTGTTCTGAAAACATCTATATAGTAACCTGTCCTCCCCTTCCTCTAGAAGAATTTTCATATATATATTTTTTTTCACCCTGCCTCGGTGGGAGACGGCCGACTTGTTGAAAAAAAAAAAAAAAAAAAAAAAAAAAAAATATTTTTTTTCACAGTTCACTGCAAAATTTACATATTAAAAGCTCAAAACGGGTAAGATAAACTTCACAACAGCTCTGTATACCTGACATGAGCTCCTCAACAGTTTTAAACAGCTGACATGAGCTGCATCACTAGCTGGGGACGGAGGGTGATGTTCTACAAGAGGAGCCGTGTGTGTACTCACTTAGTTGTGTGTGCAGGACCCCGTCTCTTAAGTCTTATCGACCGGCTTTACAGATTCACGGCCTCCACGGTCTGATCGTATCTGCTCTGGAAACTGTGTAAACTTATTCATTCTCTCTCTCTCTCTCTCTCTCTCTCTCTCTCTTCTCTCTCTCTCGTATAGATACATACTGGGTTGTTACAAAAACATTTCACGGGCGATTATAGAATGATGGCTTATATAATGAGGTCAAATAGTATAGCAGGATTAACAAGGGAAATATAGATATAAATTACTAACAGAACAGATCACAAAGATGAACGCGCTACTGTGTGCCAAAAACTACTTTCTTAAACCCCACCCAAAGTGGCTAGGACACTAACCTTCCTTACCTCTCCTCCTGTCTACCCACGACTTGTTAACCTCTCTTCCTGGCTACCCACAACCTCTCTAACCTCTCTTCCTGTCTACCCATAACCTTTCTAATCTATATTCCTGTCTACCCATAACCTTTCTTACCCCTGTCCTCTTGTCTACCCATAGCCTTTCTTACCTCTCTCTTCCTGTCTACTCACACCCTTTCTTACCTCTCTCTTCCTGTCTACTCACAACCTTTCTTACCTCTCTCTTCCTGTCTACTCACAACCTTTCTTACCTCTCTCTTCCTGTCTATTCACAACCTTTCTTACCTCTCTCTTCCTGTCTACTCACAACCTTTCTTACCTCTCTCTTCCTGTCTATTCACAACCTTTCTTACCTCTCTCTTCCTGTCTACTCACAACCTTTCTTACCTCTCTCTTCCTGTCTATTCACAACCTTTCTTACCTCTCTCTTCCTGTCTATTCACAACCTTTCTTACCTCTCTCTTCCTGTCTATTCACAACCTTTCTTACCTCTCTCTTCCTGTCTACTCACAACCTTTCTTACCTCTCTCTTCCTGTCTACTCACAACCTTTCTTACCTCTCTTTTCCTGTCTATTCACAACCTTTCTTACCTCTCTTGTCTACCCACAATCTTTCTTGCCTCTTTCGCGTCCTATCTACCTACAATATTTCTTATGTCTCTCTATTTCTGTCTACATACAATCATACTTACTACTCCCTATCCTCCCACAACTATCGTTAGCATTCTTCCTGTCTATCCACAACCATTTCCTCGCTCTATCCTACCACAGTCCTTCCTCTCCCTATTCTTGCCATCCCTCTTACAACTTTGCAAAAAAAAAAAAGGTCACACAGAGTGACCAGTCAATAATAGGAAATGAAAGTTTAGTATAGTAAAAATAATGGAAAGCTCTTGATGCAAGGAACTGGAGCTGCCTTTTTTTTTTCTTCTTGAACTAAACTTGATTATCTCTCATTACTAATCGTATCATTTTTAAATAAATCACTGAGATGGAGTCCACAAGAACTCTACATCACTTTCTGTTTCGAAAATTTTTTGCATATATCTGACTTCTGCAAGACCATGTTGTTCAGACTCTTACCTAAGTCAATAATTTACCGTTTCCCCTCAATATAATAAAGAGTTAATAATAATAATAATTTGATAATAAAGTTTAATTGTTTTCTGGTTTGGAACATAGTTCTACCTAGAAGGGAGGTCAATGTCAGTGACCCACAACGTAGATCATTAATTGCTGTCGTAGATTAAGATATTTTAAACTACTTACTGCAGGTCACATGCTTACCCCAGACTACCTACGTACTTACCCCAGCCTGCCTCTGGATCTCCAGCTGCCATCTGTGTACAAGTGAAGTCCAATACTGCCGACAATATAGGCAAGACACACTTTGCAGAACAAGCTTGCATATGATAAACGATTCACTCTTGACTTTATAAAACTCTACACAGCACAAATACGTGTGCCTTCGTCAGCTACCAGGTGGCCCCTGGCCCCCCACCTGGTGATCTGGCTGCACCTAGTTACCTGGACCTTGCAGAGCTCGGCGGCGGGGTCCATGATGAGGTTTTCGCCGCTGACCACGTGTATGCTGGAACGGGGAAAGTGGTCCAGCCATCTCTTGAGGTGTCTAGCGTAGAGACCACCGCTAATGGGACCCCACTCTGAGTTCACCAGACCTGATGACCACCTCACAAAGGTCAGCTCTTCGAAGGATCGACGCGACCTGTGCTTACTGCAGCAGCAGACGGAAGAGGGAAGCAGGGAGGAAGGGAACAGAGTGGACGAAGAAAAAAACAGAAAAAGAGCAAAGTGGAGGGAGGGAGAAGGAATGGACGAAGACCAAAGTGGGGAGAAAGGAGAAGATAGAAATGAGTTAGTCTGACCTTATATTTTCAAGATGAAATCTTAAAATCATCAGCGGTGACCATCTAGTAAGAATGCTCCCCAAACAGTCATTCTCCCCGGAAGTCATTGTTCCTGGTGGTCAATCTCCCTGGTAGTCATTCTCCCTGGTAGTCATTCTCCCTGGTAGTCATTCTCCTTAGAGTCTTTCTCCCTGGAAGTCGTTCTCCCTGGTAGCTGTTCTCCCTGTAAGTCATTCTCCTTGGTAGTCATTCTTGTTAGTCATTCTCCCTGGTAGTCATTCTCCCTGGTAGTCATTCTACCTGGTAGTCATTCTTGGAAGTCATTCTCCTTGGAAGTCATTCTCCCTGGTAGTCATTCTCCTTGGAAGTCATTCTCCCTGGTAGTCATTCTCATTGGTAGTCATTCTCCCGGAAGTCATTCTCCCAGTAATCATTCTCCTGGGAAGTTATTCTCCCTAGTGGTCATTCTCCTTGGTAGTCATTCTTCTTCGTAGTCATTCTCCCTTGTAGTCATTTTCCCTGGTAGTCATTCTCCCTGGTAGTCATTCTCCCTGGTAGTCATTCTCCCTGGTAGTCGTTCTCCCTGGTAGTCATTCTCCCTGGTAGTTATTCTTCCTGGTAGTCATTCTCCCTGGTAGTCGTTCTCCCTGGTAGTCATTCTCCCTGGTAGTTATTCTTCCTGGTAGTCGTTCTCCCTGGTAGTCGTTCTCCCTGGTAGTCGTTCTCAGTCATCTTAATACATCTTCATTCACAAAGTACTCACAAGTTACATAACCAGGTGAAGGTGAAGATGTCATGACCAGGTGAAGGTGAGGAAGATGTTATAACCAAGTGAGGGTGAAGCTGTTGTGGCTAGGTGAAGGTGAGGAAGATGTCATAACCAGGTGAAGGTGAAGCTGTCGTGGCTAGGTGAAGGTGAGGAAGATGTCATAACCAGGTGAAGGTGAAGATGTCATGACCAGGTGAAGGTGAGGAAGATGTCATAACCAAGTGAGGGTGAAGCTGTTGTGGCTAGGTGAAGGTGAGGAAGATGTCATAACCAAGTGAGGGTGAAGCTGTTGTGGCTAGGTGAAGGTGAGGAAGATGTCATAACAAGGTGAAGGTGAAGCTGTCGTGGCTAGGTGAAGGTGAGGAAGATGTCATAACCAGGTGAAGGTGAAGATGTCATGACCAGGTGAAGGTGAGGAAGATGTCATAACCAGGTGAAGGTGAAGCTGTCGTGGCTAGGTGAAGGTGAGGAACATATCATAACCAGGTGAAGGTGAAGCTGTCGTGGCTAGGTGAAGGTGAGGAAGATGTCATAACCAAGTGAAGGTGAAGCTGTCGTGGCTAGGCGAAAGTGTGGTAGATGTCATAACCAGGTAAAGGTGAAACTGTCGTGGCTAGGTGAAGGTGAGGAAGATGTCATAACCAGAGACATGTTTATAACAGTTTATGCAAGAAAATACTAATATTAGTGTGCAGCGTAAACACTTTGACGAGGTACTGTTTACATCTGGGCAGGATGTGTGTGTGTACTCACCTATATGTGGTTGTAGGGGGTTAATCACATCTGTCCCCGCGTGTGTTTGTGTGACTGTATATGTGTTTGTGCGGTGTATTTATCAGTCGCCAGAAACTGACCCTGGCAGCTCAATCGTATTTACGATATATATATATATATATATATATATATATATATATATATATATATATATATATATATATATATATATATATATATATATATATATAATACATTTATATTATATATATATATGTCGTGCCGAATATGTAAAACTGGTCAATTAGCAAGAACTCATTTAAAATTAAGTCCTTTCTAAAATTGTCTCTTATACGTTTAAAGATATATTTTTTTCATTAATGTTAATGTAAAAAATTTTAATTTTGCACCAAAAGAATCTTAAAAAACTTACCTAACCTTATTATAACAAGAACAATTTATTTTAGCCTAACCCAACTAAATATAATTTGGATTTGTTTACAATAATTTAATACTAAACAAACACAGTGAAATATATTTTTTTCGTTAGGTTCAGATTGATTTTGGCGAAATTATTGCATACACAAATTTTCACTTGTCCTATATGGCAAGATAAGTGTTGCTATTTAAGCCAAGATCGCAAGTTCTGCCTATTCGGCACGACATTATATATATATATATATATATATATATATATATATATATATATATATATATATATATATATATATATATATATATATATATATATATATATTGTGTGTGTGTGTGTGTGTGTGTGTGTGTGTGTGTGTGTGTGTGTGTCGTGCCGAATAGGTAAAACTAGTCAATTAGCAAGAACTCGTTTAAAATAAAGTCCTTTCTAAAATTCTCTCTTATATGTTTAAAGATATATATTTTTTTCATTTATGTTAATGTAAACATTAATAATTTTGTACCAAAAGAATCTTAGAAAACTTGCCTGACCTTATTATAACAAGCGCAATTTAATTTAACCTAATCCAACTAAATATGTTTGATAAGTTTACAATAATTTAATAATAAACAAACACAATGAAATATATTTTTTCGTTAGGTTCAGAATGATATTTTCGAAATTATTGCATACACAAATTTTCGCCTGCCTTATTCAGCAAGAAGAGCGTTGCTATTTAAGCCAAAATAGCAAATTTTTACCTGTTCGGCACGACATTTTATATATATATATATATATTATATATATATATATATATATATATATATATATATATATATATATGCAATAAGATCACAGTAAGCAGGTAATTTCAGAATATGCAAAACAACCACTCTGAAAGAATAGAGAAATTCCAAGCACTTTCATGACTACTCTCATTATCAAGGAACTATAGTTCCTTGATAATGTGAGTAGTCACGAAAACGCTTGGAATTTCTCTATTCTTTCAGAGTGGTTGTTTTGCATTATATATATATATATATATTATATATATATATATATATATATATATATATATATATATATATATATATATATATATATATATATATATATATTATTTATTATATATATATATATATATATTATATATATATATATATATATATATATATATATATATATATATATATATATATATATATATATATATATATATATTTCTTCTTTTTTTTTCAACAAGTCGGTCGTCTCCCACCGAGGCAGGGTGACCCAAAAAAGAAAGAAAATCCCCAAAAAGAAAATACTTTCATCATCATTCAACACTTTCACCACACTCACACATTATCACTGCTTTTGCAGAGGTGCTCAGAATACAACAGTTTAGAAGCATATACGTATAAAGATACACAACATATCCCTCCAAACTGCCAATATCCCAAACCCCTCCTTTAGAGTGCAGGCATTGTACTTCCCATTTCCAGGACTCAAGTCCGACTATATGAAAATAACCGGTTTCCCTGAATCCCTTCACTAAATATTACCCTGCTCACACTCCAACAGATCGTCAGGTCCCAAGTATCATTCGTCTCCATTCACTCCTATCTAACACGCTCATGCACGCTTGCTGGAATCCAAGCCCCTCGCCCACAAAACCTCCTTTACCCCCTTTTTCCAACCCTTTCGAGGACGACCCCTACCCCTCTTTCCTTCCCCTATAGATTTATATGCTTTCCATGTCATTCTACTTTGATCCATTCTCTCTAAATGACCAAACCACCTCAACAACCCCTCTTCTGCCCTCTGACTAATGCTTTTATTAACTTCACACCTTCTCCTAATTTCCACACTCCGAATTTTCTGCATAATATTTACACCACACATTGCCCTTAGACAGGACATCTCCACTGCCTCCAACCGTCTCCTCGCTGCTGCATTTACCACCCAAGCTTCACATCCATATAAGAGTGTTGGTACTACTATACTTTCATACATTCCCTTCTTTGCCTCCATAGATAACGTTTTTTGACTCCACATATACCTCAACGCACCACTCACCTTTTTTCCCTCATCAATTCTATGATTAACCTCATCCTTCATAAATCCATCCGCCGACACGTCAACTCCCAAGTATCTGAAAACATTCACTTCTTCCATACTCCTCCTCCCCAATTTGATATCCAATTTTTCTTTATCTAAATCATTTGATACCCTCATCACCTTACTCTTTTCTATGTTCACTTTCAACTTTCTACCTTTACACACATTCTCAAACTCATCCACTAACCTTTGCAATTTTTCTTTAGAATCTCCCATAAGCACAGTATCATCAGCAAAAAGTAGCTGTGTCAATTCCCATTTTGAATTTTATTCCCCATAATTTAATCCCACCCCTCTCCCGAACACCCTAGCATTTACTTCTTTTACAACCCCATCTATAAATATATTAAACAAACATGGTGACATTACACATCCCTGTCTAAGACCTACTTTTACCGGGAAGTAATCTCCCTCTCTTCTACACACCCTAACCTGAGCCTCACTATCCTCATAAAAGCTCTTTACAGCATTTAGTAACTTACCACCTATTCCATATACTTGCAACATCTGCCACATTGCTCCTCTATCCACTCTATCATATGCCTTTTCTAAATCCATAAATGCAATAAAAACTTCCCTACCTTTATCTAAATACTGTTCACATATATGCTTCATGTAAACACTTGATCTACACATCCCCTACCCACTCTGAAGCCTCCTTGCTCATCCGCAATTCTTTCATTCTGTCTTACCTCTAATTCTTTCAATTATAACCCTACCGTATACTTTTCCTGGTATACTCAGTAAACTTATTCCTCTATAATTTTTACAAATCTCTTTGTCCCCTTTCCCTTTATATAAGGGACTATACATGCTCTCCGCCAATCCTAGGTACCTTCCCCCCTTCATACATTTATTAAACAAAAAATACCAACCACTCCAACACTATATCCCCCTGCTTTTAACATTTCTGTCACGATCCCATCAGTTCCAGCTGCTTTAACCCCTTTTCATTCTACGTAATGCCTCACGTACCTCCACCACACTTACATTCTGCTCTTCTTCACTCCTAAAAGATGGTATACCTCCCTGGCCAGTGCATGAAATTACCGCCTCCCTTTCTTCCTCAACATTTAAAAGTTCCTCAAAATATTCTCGCCATCTACCTAATACCTCCCTCTCCCCATCTACTAACTCCCCTACTCTGTTTTTAACGGACAAATCCATACTTTCCCTAGGCTTTCTTAACTTGTTTAACTCACTCCAAATTTTTTTCTTATTTTCATTAAAATTTCTTGACAGTCGCTCTCCCACTCTTTCATCTGCTCTCCTTTTGCACTCTCTCACCACTCTCTTCACCTTTCTTTTACTCTCCATATACTCTGTTCTTCTTAAAACACTTCTGCTTTGTAAAAACCTCTCGTAAGCTACCTTTTTCTCTTTTATCACACCCTTTACTTCATCATTCCACCAATCACTCCTCTTTCCTGCCCCCACCCTCCTATAACCACAAACTTCTGCCCCACATTCTAATACTGCATTTTTAAAACTATTCCAACCCTCTTCAACCCCCCCACTACTCATCTTTGCACTAGCCCACCTTTCTGCCAATAGTCGCTTATATCTCGCCCGAACTTCCTCTTCCCTTAGTTTATACACTTTCACCTCCCTCTTACTTGTTGTTGCCACCTTCCTCTTTTCCCATCTACCTCTTACTCTAACTGTAGCTACAACTAAATAATGATCTGATATATCAGTTGCCCCTCTATAAACATGTACATCCTGGAGCCTACCCATCAACCTTTTATCCACCAATACATAATCTAACAAACTACTTTCATTACGTGCTACATCATACCTTGTATATTTATTTATCCTCTTTTTCATAAAATATGTATTACTTATTACCAAATTTCTTTCTACACATAGCTCAATTAAAGGCTCCCCATTTACATTTACTCCTGGCACCCCAAATTTACCTACTACTCCCTCCATAACATTTTTAAACCCACTTTAGCATTGAAATCCCCAACCACCATTACTCTTACACTTGATTCAAAACTCCCCACGCATTCACTCAACATTTCCCAGAATCTCTCTCTCTCCTCTACACTTCTCTCTTCTCCAGGTGCATACACGCTTACTATAACCCACTTTTCACATCCAATCTTTATTTTACTCCACATAATCCTTGAACTTATGCATTTGTAGTCCCTCTTTTCCTGCCATAGCTTATCCTTCAACATTATTGCTACTCCTTCTTTAGCTCTAACTCTATTTGAAATCCCTGACCTAATCCCATTTATTCCTCTCCATTGAAACTCTCCCACCCCCTTCAGCTTTGTTTCACTTAAAGCCAGGACATCCAGTTTCTTCTCATTCATAACATCCACAATCATCTCTTTCTTATCATTTGCACAACATCCACGCACATTCAGACTTCCCACTTTGACAATTTTCTTCTTCTTATTCTTTTTAGTAATCTTTACAGGAAAAGGGGTTACTAGCCCATTGTTCCCGGCATTTTAGTTGACTTTTACAACACGCATGGCTTACGGAGGAAAGATTCTTATTCCACTTCCCCATGGATATAAAAGGAAAAGTAATAAGACCAAGAACTATTAAGATAAAATCAAAGAAAACTCAGATGAGTGTGTATAAATAAACGTGTACATGTATGTATAGTGTGACCTAAGTGTAAGTAGAAGTAGCAAGACGTACCTGTAATCTTGCATATTTATGAGACAGACAAAAGACACCAGCAATCCTACCATCATGTAAAACAATTACAGGCTTTCATTTTACACTCACTTGGCAGGACGGTAGTACCTCCCTGGGTGGTTGCTGTCTACCAACCTACTACCTATGAAATATATATATATATATATATATATATATATTATATATATATATATATATATATATATGTATGTATGTATGTTGTATGTGTGTGTGTGTGTGTGTGTGTGTGGTACTCACCTAGTTGTACTCACCTAGTTGAGGTTGCGGGGGTCGAGTCCGAGCTCCTGGCCCCGCCTCTTCACTGATCGCTACTAGGTCACTCTCCCTGAGCCGTGAGCTTTATCATACCTCTGCTTAAAGCTATGTATGGATCCTGCCTCCACTACATCGCTTCCCAAACTATTCCACTTACTGACTACTCTGTGGCTGAAGAAATACTTCCTAACATCCCTGTGATTCATCTGTGTCTTCAGCTTCCAACTGTGTCCCCTTGTTACTGTGTCCAATCTCTGGAACATCCTGTCATTGTCCACCTTGTCAATTCCTCTCAGTATTTTGTATGTCGTTATCATGTCCCCCCTATCTCTCCTGTCCTCCAGTGTCGTCAGGTTGATTTCCCTTAACCTCTCCTCGTAGGACATACCTCTTAGCTCTGGGACTAGTCTTGTTGCAAAACTTTGCACTTTCTCTAGTTTCTTCACGTGCTTGGCTAGGTGTGGGTTCCAAACTGGTGTGTGTGTGTGTGTGTGTGTGTGTGTATGTGTGTGTGTGTGTGTGTGCGTCGTGTGTGTGTGTGTGTGCGTCGTGTGTGTGTGTGTGTGCGTCGTGTGTGTGTGTTTCACTACCTGTGTGAGCATGTTATGTGTATGTACAAGCATCGTACCTGAGGCCCTGTGTGTAATCTGAGAGAGCCCTGGTGACGGGGTTCCTGACCACCAGCAGTAGCTTAGCGTTGGGCAGGTCGTCTTTCACTCTCTCAGGAACACCAGGGGTAGTGAAGTAGGCTGGCGTCTTCTCCACCGTCAACTGCCCCTCCAGACTTAATGGAAGCTGACTCCTGTACACGGTGAGACAACGGTAAGCAGATTACCTGGTGCCAGAGTGCTGCTCTGCTGGGAGGGGGATCTGTTGTTTGTTATGGTGAAGCTGAGAGGGTGTTGATGGTGGTAGGGAGGGTGCTGGTAGTTGTTGAGGTGTTGTCGGTGGGAAGATTGGTGGTGGTGGGGAAGGCGGTGGTTGTGGTGGTGATGGTGGTAGGGAGAGTGTTGGTGATTGTGGTAGGGAGAGTGTTGGTGATGGTAGTAGGAAGAGTGTTGGTGATTGTGGTAGGGAGAGTGTTGGTGATGGTAGTAGGAAGAGTGTTGGTGATGGTGGTAGGGAGAGTGTTGGTGATTGTGGTAGGGAGAGTGTTGGTGATGGTAGTAGGAAGAGTGTTGGTGATGGTGGTAGGGAGAGTGTTGGTGATTGTGGTAGGGAGAGTGTTGGTGATGGTAGTAGGAAGAGTGTTGGTGATGGTGGTAGGGAGAGTGTTGGTGATTGTGGTAGGGAGAGTGTTGGTGATGGTAGTAGGAAGAGTGTTGGTGATGGTGGTAGGGAGAGTGTTGGTGATTGTGGTAGGGAGAGTGTTGGTGATGGTAGTAGGAAGAGTGTTGGTGATGGTGGTAGGGAGAGTGTTGGTGATTGTGGTAGGGAGAGTGTTGGTGATGGTAGTAGGAAGAGTGTTGGTGATGGTGGTAGGGAGAGTGTTGGTGATTGTGGTAGGGAGAGTGTTGGTGATGGTAGTAGGAAGAGTGTTGGTGATGGTGGTAGGGAGAGTGTTGGTGGTGGTGGGGTGGGGGAGAGTTTTATCTCTCACTACACTTAAGACATAGTCTGGGTCAGACTAGGAGTTACGTGTTTACAAGCTGCAGCTCTTACCGGACTTCACCTCATCTAACCTCACTCTATATTTTTATTAAATAGTTTATAAGTGAACACATATCGAGCCTTGACTGTATATACATACAGGAAATGAGCCAAATATGAGAACAGAGACCTGGTCTAAGAACGGGCCGCGGGGGCGCTGACCCCCAGAAATCAATTATTATTATTATTATTATAATCAAGGGGGAAGCGCTAAACCCGGAGGATTATACAGCGCCTGGGGGGGGATATGTGGAAGGCATTCAGGCTTAATTCGGGGAACTGGAGCACAGATCCAATTCCCTAAATCAAGAGCCCCTCACCAACATCAAGGAACCTTCCTTGAGGGGCCCAGGAATCAAGAGGTACAGCTTTCATTTGATCAGTTGACTTGTTATCCCTACTGCCCGTCTTGAAGAATAATAGCTCTCACTATTTTCTCTAACGTTTATTTACCCTCTACCTTACATTACTTCCCTGTTTTTCCTTTCTCTTCCATATCTCCAGGTCTCATCTTCTTTTCCTTTCCACTCTTTCCCTCGTTTTATTAGCCTCTTCTCTCTCTTTCTCTCTCTCCTATATCATCCCTCCTCTGCCCTCCAGACCCACATATCCCCTCACTCCACTCCCATTTTCCCCTCATTACTCTCCCCTAATTGTTTATCCTTTCCTCTCTCCTACCCCACTCTGCCTTTCCTTCCGTCTTCCCATTTTCCTTGAATATTTCTTCTCCCCTGTTCTATTTTTCTTTTCGCTTTTCCGTAATCCCTATCATTCATTCCTTCATCTGCCATCTATTCTTCCTTTTTTGCCTTTCTCACCCTACCTTCTCTACTTTGTCCTCTACCTTCCCAATCTTCCCTCTTTTTTTACCTTCTTCTCTCCCTCCTTCTCTTCCTTCCTCCCCCACTGAAGCAGAAAAGTCTCAGCTGTAAAATATAACGAAGTAGTCCATCTCTGTTACTTCCCCCTTTCTCTCTCTCTCTCTCTCTCTCTCTCTCTCTCTCTCTCTCTCTCTCTCTCTCTCTCTCTCTCTCTCTCTCTCTCTTTTCCTTTTCTTCCCTCCTATTCACTGCCTTCTTTCCTCCCCTTCACTCTCCCCTGACTCACCTGTACCAGGAGAGGCCGCGGCTGTAAAACCTGTCGAAGTAGTGTATCTCAGGACCCGAGGCTCTGATGGAGGGATGCACCCGCAGGAAGGCCAGCAGCGCCCGTGTTCCAGACTTCTTGGCTCCAATGATGAGCACGTCAGGCAGTCTCCGTGCCGCCGCTGACCCGTTCGTACCTGAAGCACGAGTCTTAGTGATTGTACTTGAAGCACGAATCTTAGTGATCGTACCTGAAGCACGAATCTTAGTGATCATACTTGAAGCAGGAGTCTTAGTGTTTGTACCTGAAGTACCAGCACGGTTCCACAGGTCTGGACTCTGGAACCTCAAAGGCCAGTCTACGGGGAGAATGTTCCGAGGAGTCAACATTCCCCGGTCCCTGACCAGTCCTCCAGGTGAATCAGGGCCTGATTAACCAGGTCACACGCAGTACAACGTATGAACCACAGCCCGGCTGATCAGGAACTGGTTTAGGAAGTAACAGCATTAATACCGTCAGGTATCGATATAGAAATAATGCGCAGAACAAGATTTAACTGATCATCACAATTTTATACCCGTCAGATGACTTGTGGGGTCATATTGAATTTTTATGCAATTTGTGTTTGTTGGTTGCTGAACAAATAAACAAACACATCAGTATTTTTTTTCTTCGTGGTGTTTGTACAATTGTTTTTGTTATTGTTGGGTAGTTTCGCCTTGGGTATTTATCAGTTTATTTGTATTACTGTGTTTTGCTTGCTAAGAGCACTGAGAGATCCCACAGTGCTGTCCCACGTCACCCTCAGACAGTAACACCCTGATTGCACAGTCGTACAGTCATGACACCGCCATACCATCGTAACACGGTGACATAATCATGACACCGTCACACCACTGTAACACAGTGATACCATAACATCGTCACATTATAGTAACACACACCATAACACCGCCACACCACCGTAGAACGGTAATACCTTTATAACACCGTCACACCATCGTAGCAGTGATGTCAGTAGTTGTAAACTCGTAGATGTACAAGTACTGAAAGTGGCACCATCATAACACCGTTACATCACCGTAACACAGTGATACCATCATGACACCGTCGCACCACTGTCACAGTGACACCATCGTCACAGTCACTACCAACACTGCTTCCACCCTTCTCAATAGCTTAACATGGTAACTGTTCCATGGCTTAATTTGATTACTTACGAGGGGTAACCCCTGCCAATACCTGTGTTGGCAGGGGTTGAACACCAGTTACTGGCCATCCAAGGGGTAACCTAAACACGAGTATCAATGTCTACTGTCTCTACTCATCTGGTGTATATAGAAGTTGAGATAGAGCTCCTGGGCCTTATCTCTCAACCTTTATTGTCCTTTCTTAGTTGCGCTCTGATCAACAAGGCTCTAATCCACTAAGCTCTGATCTACGAGGCTCTGATCCACCAGGCTGTAGTATGGATTTTGTGATCCACCAGGCTGTAGTATGGATTTTGTGATCCACCAGGCTGTGGTGTGGATTTTGTGACCCACCAGACTGTCTGCCGACAGAGTTCGTCATTTTTCCCTCTTAACTACTTTTACACCTGACATTTTCTTCACAAAATTCTTATGGTTTATTTCTTTGACTTCTTTGATGTCTCCTGTGAGAGATGGTGAGAAGAATTGTTGAGAACAGTGTGTGGCGATCACAGGACGGAGGATCGAGACTCAACTACTTGTGCTGAAGGACCCACCTTGGTTGATTATCTCTCTCTCTCTCTCTCTCACACACACACACACACAAACACACAAACACACACACACACACACACACACACACACACACACACACACACACACACACACACACACACACACACACACACACACACACACACACACACACACACACACACCAGGTCAAGAGGGCCCATGTGGGAGGCTCGCAGAGATTTATGAAGAGAGATGAACTGAATAGACAGGTGGGGAGGAGGGATAATAAATGGGCAGTGTGTGGGGTGTGTGTGTGTGTGTGTGTGTGTGTGTGTGTGTGTGTGTGTGTGTGTGTGTGTGTGTGTGTGTGTGTGTACTCATCTAATTATACTCACGTAATTGTGGTTGCAGGGGTCGAGACTCAGCTCCTGTCCCTGCCTCTTCACTGAACGCTACTAGGTCCTCTCTCTCTCTCTGCTGCATGAGCTTTATCATACCTCGTCTTAAATCTATGTATGGTTCCTGCCTCCAGTACACCACTTGCTAGACTATTCCACTTCCTGACTGCTCTATGACTGAAGAAATACTCCCTAACATTCCTCTGACTCATCTTAGTCTTCAACTTCCAAGAGTGACCCTTTGTTTCTGTGTCCCCTCTCTGGAACATCCTGTCTCTGTCTACCTTGTCTATTCCACACAGTATTTTGTATGTCGTTATCATGTCTCCTCTAACCCTCCTGTCCACAAGTGTCGTCAGGCCGATTTCCCTTAACCTTTCTTCGTAGGACATTCCCCTTTGCTCTGGAACTAACCTTGTCTCAAACCTTTGCATTTTCTGTAATTTCTTGACTTGCTTGACCAGGTGTGGGTTCCAAACTGGTGCTGCATACTCCAGTATGGGCCTGACGTACACGGTGTACAGTGTCTTGAACGATTCCTTGCTAAAGTATCGGAATGCTATTCTCAGGTTTGCCAGGCGCCCATATGCTGCAGCAGTTATCTGGCTGATGTGTGCTTCCGGAGACGTGCTCGGTGTTATACTCACCCCAAGATCTTTCTCCTTGAGCGAGGTTCGCAGTCTTTGGCCACCTAGCCTTTACTCTGTCTGCGGTCTTCTGTGCTCTTCCCCGATCCTCATGACTTTGCATTTGGCGGGGTTAAATTCGATAAGCCATTTGCTGGACCAGGTGCCCAGCCTATTCAAGTCTCTTTGAAGTCCTGCCTGATCCTCACCTGATTTAATTCTCCTCATTAACTTCACATCATCTGCGAACAGGGACACTTCTGAGTCTATCCCTTCCATCATGTCATTCACATATACGAAAAATAGCACTGGTCCGACCCCTGTGGGACCCCGCTCGTCACAGGTGCCCATTGTGATACCTCATCACGTACCATAACTCGTTGCCTCCCTGCCAGGTATTCTCTGATTCATTGCAGTGCTCTTCCTGTTATACGCGCCTGATCCTCTAGGTTCTGCACTAATCTGTTGTGAGGAAATGTATCGAAGGCCTTCTTGCAGTCCAAGAAAATGCAATCAACCCACCCCTCTCTCTCGTGTCTTCTGTTACTTTATCAAAAAACTCCAGAAGGTTTGTGACACAGGATTTCCCTTCCATGAATCCGTGCTGGTTATCGTTTATACTCCTGTTCCGTTCCAAGTGCTCCACCACTCTCCTCCTGATAATCTTCTCCATGACTTTGCATACTATACACGTCAGTGACACTGGTCTACAGTTTAGTGCTTCTTTTCTGTCTCCTTTTTTAAAAATGGGAACTGCATTTGCCGTCTTCCATACCTCAAGTAGTTGCCCAATTTCAAGGAATGTGTTGAAGATTGTGGTTAGTGGCACACACAGCGTTTCTGCTCCCTCTCTAAGGACCCACGGGGAGATGTCCAGTCCCATTGCCTTTGAGGTATCAAGGTAACTTTGCAGCTTCTTCACCTCCTCCTCAGTTGTGTGTACGTCATCCAACACTTGATGGAATATTCCTTGTTGGTGGCCCCCTCTGTTCTGTCTTCCCAGAGTCCTTCCTGTCTCCACTGTAAATACTTCCTTAATGCTGTGAACTGGTACATTACTTAGTGCTGTGACCTGGTACATTACTCAGTGCTGTGACCTGGTACATTACTCAATGCTGTGACCTGGTACATTACTCAGTGCTGTGACCTGTTCTGGTTTAAACTGATACAGCTTCTTCCCCTCTCTGAGCTCTGTCTTGACACCCCTTCCCCTCTCTGAGCTCTGTCTTGATACCCCTTCCCCTCTCTGAGCTCTGTCTTGACACCCCTTCCCTTCTCTGAGCTCTGTCTTGTAAATATCGTGTTGAGCTCCTCACATACCTCTTGATCGTTTCTTGTGAGTTCCCCACCTTCTCCCCTCAGCCTGATCACCTGGTCTTTGACTGTTGTCTTCTTCTTAATGTGGCTATACAGCAGTTTCGGGTCAGACTTGACTTTCGATGCTATGTCGTTTTCGTACTGTCACTGGGCCTCCCTCCTTATCTGTGCATACTCGTTTCTGGCTCTTCGACTAATCTCCTTATTTTCCTGGGTCCTTTGAATTCTGTACCTTTTCCATTCTCTAGTGCATTTAGTTTTTACCTCCCTACACCTTCGGGTAAACCAAGGACTCGCTTTGGTCTTCCCATTGTTTCTGTTGCCCTTGGGAACAAACCTTACCTCTGCCTCCTTACATTTTGTTGTTACGTATTCCGTCATTTCGTTTACTGACTCTCCTACCAATTCTCTGCCCCACTGAACCTCCTGCAGGAAGTTCCTTATTCCTGTGTAGTCGCCCCTTTCTTTGTTTGGCTTTTCCCATTCAACTCCTTTTACCCTCTCCACCTGTAACTCTACTATGTAATCAAAGCTCAGAACCACGTGATCACTACCTCCAAGGGGCCTTTCATATGTGATGTCCTCAATGTTTGAACTGCTCAGGGTGAACACAAGGTCCAGTCTTGCTGGTTCATCCTCCCCCCTCTCTCTCTCTGGTAGTGTCCCTGACATGTTGATGCATGAGGTTTTCCAGTACCACATCCATCATCTTGGCTCTCCATGTTTCGGGACCCCCACGTGGCTCCAGGTTTTTCCAGTCTATCTCCCTGTGGTTGAAATCGCCCATGACCAGCAACTTTGCTCTACTTGAGTGAGCTCTTCTTGCCACCTCAGCCAATGTGTCCACCATCGCTCTCTTGTTCTGTTCGTATTCCTCTCTTGGTCTCCTGCAGTTCTGTGGTGGGTTATACATCACTGCAATGATTACCTTATGTTCCCCAGACTGAACTGTACCTAATATGTAATCCCTTTCTCCAATCTCGTCCATGCCTTCCATACCCTCAAATTCCCATTGATTTTTTTTATGAGCAGAGCAGTGTGTATGATGCGTTTGTGTGTGTCTGTATGTGTGTCTACTCACCTCACCTATTCACCTATTTGTGGTTGCAGGGGTCGAGTCACAGCTCCTGGCCCCGCCTCTTCGCTGAT